CGATCGCTGGCGGCGCGGAACGCCCTCACTCGCTGCATTAGTTTCGGGGCTCGCCGGGGCCGGGAGGGTGGGCTCCGCGGAGGTCCCTCGAAATAATCCCCCTACGGAGGCAGCAACGCCGAGTTTCACAAACAAATGTAATGGCTCTGGCTGCAAGCTTGGCAGAGCCGTGTTTAATGAACAAACAGCACTGCAAACCCCTTGCTTCATAACCAAAGGGAGAGTCAAAATGAAACGAGGCTGAATCCTCCCCGTCTGCGCTTGCTACCCCACGCTCACGGCGCTGCCACCGGGCCTTCAGCACGTAATTGCAGCCAGCCCTTCCCCTGCTTTTCTGTTCCTGACACTCAAGGCTATACGAGGATGCAAAAGCGTTGCAACACCCGGGATGCCAGAAGTTTCACTGCAGCCAGGGTTTTTTTTTTTTCCAAGGTTATGAAAAACCTACGTTTGGGCTTGATGCGGCACGGAGCTCACAGCAACTTGGCTGAAACCAGGGTGCGGCTGCGGTCTCCATCCCAGCGGGTCCACACCACTCTCATGGCCTGGGATGCACCTCCCGCTCGGCTCCCCGGGGTCTTCCACGCTGCTGTCACGTCCACGCAGCAATGGCAGGCCCATGGGTCAGAGCCATTAGCAAATACACCCCGCGGTAACTCTACTCTCCTTCCAACGTTTCCTTTCGAAAAACAGCTGTTGGGGATGGAAGCACAAGGTGGTGTTCCACCACCGGGCTCTGACACAGCTCCTGTAGGTCATGTTTAGTTTCGACAGTTTTCCTCCACATGTTGGTCTTGAAAACAATGTGCCCCCCAGTTAAAATTTCTTTGCTAACTTAGTTTTCTCCTTTCTTTTCTCATTACATTTTATAAGCCTTGATTTCTACAGCATTTGCACACCGACTGTTTCCCATTTATGGGCAAAATGCTTTAAATATTTGTGTCCGCAGCTAGTATTAAAGCTGTTGGATGGTGTGTAGATACTAAGTTAACAGCAAAAATGACTTTAGAATTTTAATTTGAAATGTTTTGTGAGTCTTTAAAGTCATTTTCTGTTTGGGACATAATACCCTGTGACAGAGACATTCCTCCCCTGAAAGAGAAAGGAGGAAATATGAAATCTGAGATTGAGATAAGCCCAGTTTACTTTGGCAGAGAGGAACAGACTGGATCTCAA